AAAAGCAGTCTGAAATTGTAGAGTCCAATTCAGAGGACATCTTATTAGTCCTGTTGTGAGGTTGCCACACAGAAAAAGAACCAGAACACCCAACTGAGAATTTAAAAGGGGGTTTTTATTGGCCGGCTGGCAACTGTTCCTCCAAGAAAGTCTTGGAAGTAAGCAGCCCTGAACTGAAGTTTAGAGGGATTTTTAAAAGGTACATTTTTACATTAGTCACACAGTTAAAATTATCAAATAGTCACACACTTATAGTTATCATATAGTTACACACATACATACATACCCTTCTGGCATGAGGAGGGGATTTGGGGAGGCCTAGTGCAAGCTGATAACAGAAGCGAAAAGAAGCCAGTTAATCACTCAGGGGCGTGAGGAGGGTGTTTGGGGAGGCCTAGCGCAAGCTGATAACAGAAGCTGAAAGAAGCCAGTTTATCACTTAGGGATGGCAACAACTTTCACAGGGCAGTTTCCTCCTTAGGTTGTCTAGATACATCCAGATACAGCTCTTGGTTTTATTAATCAGGGACAGCATAGGTGGGAAACAGCAAAGGCAGGCTAATATTTAGCTTTTAACTTCTATGAAGAGAGGGCTAAAGAGCTGAGGGGGATTTTTAAATAGTAGCATTTTTAAAGCAATTCAAACACTATTTAAACTTAATTAATCTATCTTGTCACACAGCAAGCAGTTTCACAGAAGCAAATTGTGTATGTTATGAAAGTGGGGGTCACCCTATCTCATTTCCAACTCCTCTTTAGGAAGGAATCAAATCATTGATTCTTTAGTACTTAATTTATTACAAAGAGTTTAATTGACTGTACCTATTCTTGGATGTAACTAATGAGGTGGGAGACCAGGCAAGGTCCAATAGTGACTAGGAGGAGGAAGAGGACTAGGGGGCTTGAAACTGCTGTTATTAAAGTTGTTAACCAAGGTGACCAAGAGAAGAAGCTCTCATACCAATTTTTGTTGTTATTATATGACTCTTCTCTTTCTTTAATGTGTTCTCTGACTAAGGCAAGGCTTTTCCTTTTTGTTAATTTGGGAAAGGCTGTCCCTTATTACCCCAGAGTGGTTAGTATAAAAACACCAAGTTTTGGGCCAGCCCGGTGGCGCACTGCTACAGTGTGCCGCTTGGGAGCGCGGCGGCGCTCCCGC